TTTCTACATTTATGTAAATAGTAGTTCTAAAAGCTTTTGCTACATTATTTTATTCTGTCTAGCCTTTAGGCTGCAGATCTCATTATACAGCTTTGCAGTCTACTTGACAGATCCTTAGACACACATAGCAAATGGCTTTGGAGGTGCTTCCACTACATCCACTGTACTATTGTTCTCTTCTATTTTAAAGAACTACAATAGAATTTGGGAATTTTTTTTTCAATCAATTTATTGACGTTCTCTGATTTTTCAGTATGGAGTCTCTCATTAGCTTTGGTTCTGACTTCAGTTGTCCTGGATTTTCACTCTCCCAAGTGAAAATTCTTGTTCTTTCCCCCTCTACATGTCGCTGCCTTTTTGCTGCTGCTGAAAGCCCAGTAGCCTTTCTCCTGATTTCACTGAGGATCCAGGAAAGTGGCAGCATCTGAGGCTTCTGCAGAGTGACTCTGCTTACTGCTTGGACTCACTAGAGGTCAGTTCTGACAGAGGGGACTGATTCATCGTTCATCTGTTCTAGGCTTATGAGAGCATCTGCCGAGGTGGCTAATCTGATTGTGTGCTTCCACTGACACTGGTTATGGGTTTATTTTATAGTTGGTTGTCCAGATGCGTAAACTGATATTACAACCACAAGGCTCCCGTGTTACAGCCTGATACTCGTTAAAAGATGCAATTTATCGCCTTCCTGCTCATTACATAAGACAATATGATCTGCTGAAAGACAGGCAACCTGCAATGTGGGTTCTTTAACCCTTTTTTTTTCCTTTAACTACGTAAAAATAAATAGGGCAGCTTGGGCCTACACTTTATAACAAAGGAAACAAAAAATCAGAGAGGAGTGCCTAACTCATTCAAGTTTGTGATCCCGTTTTTCACCTTTAGGAAGTACTTTGTTCAGTTAATGTTTCTAATCAAAAGAAAACAAACCCTTCCCTCTGTTCTCTCCCAGTCCCAAATACCTGTTGTTATCTCTAGTGGTGCCTCCAGCAAAGTATCTGAATGCTCTCAGTGAAGGGGGAGTTCAGGAATTCACACTATAATCTCTGTAAGGAAACCTCTAGTTATAGCAATGACCTGCATTTCTGGGTTAGTTACCATTAAGTCAACCTCAAAACACAAGGGGAACCACATAAATCCTTTAGGGCAAGGAGTTTTACTCTGTTTTACATCATCCTGGTGCAGGACTATTGCTTGTAGATGCTTTCTGCAGAGCATAAAATGCCAATTAGAGAAAATCAAGAAGTAGTCCTGTGAAAATCTTGAGCAAAGGGTTCAATTTATCTCTCCTAAAGATTTTCTGAAGATGAAGTAGTCCTCCAACTGGACTCACTTCTTGTAAAATGTGGGAACAGACAGTGATTATTGCAAAGTTGAAGCACATGCTGCTAACCGAGATTCAAGGAAGGAATAAACAATGACTTAATGCCATTCCTGTTTCACAGAGAGCCATAAATATGGGGAGACAGTTGCTGAGTAAGGCACTACTGCAGCAAGTGGTAGAAATTAATCAAGAGGTAATGCCACTTTTATAGGGCAAAAAGGATTTGGTAACAGACTGACTGAGCAAAGAAGTGGGGCTGAGATCAATTAAATGGGAACAGACAACTTAGACTAAAGAGGCCACTCAGTGCAACCAAATCCTACCGGTGAAAATTTATGTCATCTTTTATATGGAAGGGGTGAACAGAGAGAAGAATCTTATGCAATCTGTGACTTCACAACCTATGGTGAACTAACAACCAAAGAGGGATGCCAGTAGGAACGTGCTTTGGAGACACCTGAAAGAGAGAAAAACCAAGCAGAAAGCATTGCAGCCCAAGTTAACAGCATGGCCAGCATGCAGAAATGAAGCGGGTAGAAAAGGTGCCTTCAAAGACTGTATGTGGATCTCCTCTTTTCTGAGTCTGACCACCAGGGCTAGGTGAAAAAGTCTCTGTTTTCTCATCTGAATTGGGATGAAAAGTAAACATCAGAAAAAGCTGAAGATACTAGCAAGCTTCACTGTGTAGACCAGACGAAACACTGGGTTTTAAATATCAATTCATTTTGATCTTTGCCTTTTTGCTTTGCAAACTTTTTCAGTATGAAGTAACTAAAACTGAGAAAATAACTTGCAATTTTTTCCAAATAGAAAGTGACAGAACTGACTATGTTAAGCATTTTCAAAATCGGCCTAAAAGCACTTTAAATTGACAGTTTTCATGTTTAAAAAAATACTTTTGTAATGCAAGGTATCGTTTAGGGCAACTTTTCATTTTCTGACCACAGCCCAGGAATGCTTCACTGCAGAATATCCTGGCTCCCACTCCTGGCTGTTGTATTGCAACAAATCGTGTGGGCAGCCCAGGGTTCAACAGCCCACAGTACTCTCACTCAACATCCACCTGACCTGGCCGTGTCCTCCGCAGTACAGGCCAGCTGGGTATCTCTTCATACCAGCGCTATTTTTAGTGGGCAGTGCTGCCAAAGCAGTATGAAAGGGGCTTCATCAGAAGACAACACCAGGCCCATTCTTTCTTGTCACACGTGTATAAATTTTTCCATTAAAAAAAAAAATAGATATTTGCACCAAAAAAACTGACTTTAAAACCATACAGGCTCAAATGACAGAAATTTTCACTTGCCTCCTTAAGGTAAATGGCAACTAAAGCAGTGTCTTCATTTTCTTCTCTTTCTGCCCCAGGGAGATAAAGGCACAACTACTGTTTTATTCCTGTTTTGGTCACCGGTATCTGTGCTAATTAAATTGCAATATTTCATTTGCTTCACTGGTAGTATTTGCCTCTTCTGTTTCCCAGGATTTAGTGACTTTACAAAGTGCAGGACAGGCAGCGAAGAATCAAGCCCTGTGTTCACACAGCCTGTCAGATTCTCCTTGCCCTTCCACTCACTGGTGAAGGTGTATACCAAAGCCAGCCAGAGCTGGCTGCATCAGTGATATGCAATCTCACAGCCCAGCCAAGTACAAATAACCCGTTTGTGTTGCTCTTGGGAGGTTTCTGAGGATTATTCTCTGTATCCTGAAAAGAAGTGAAACCTAATGTTCTGGGAAAGTCTGGTGTGGGGGAAGGAGGTCCCTATCAGGTAGAGGCGGCTGCAGCCAGGCCCTGAGGGGGTTAGAGAAATCTGTCAAAGGCAGCTTCCCTTCCTATATCCTGCAAGGAGAAGGACCTTCTGAGGAGAGTGACATTCCACCAGTACTTGACTGCCGCCAGTTTTCATTTCACTACAGTATTTCCACCTGTTTTAAAAGTGGAACCTCTCGTCCAACAGAAATTTACCCTGTCTCAAATGCAAACATGAAAATCAGAGGAGGAGCCCTGCCATGGTGGTGCATAACACTGCAAAGCACTGAGCGTCGGTGTGATGCTTGCTTTTCTCTGAAGGCACCCTCCAAGCCTGGGAAGGAGGAAAGAATGGGACCATAGAAACAGGAGAGCAATAGTGTTTAAGATCTTCAGGTTTCCCAGCAGTGCTTGGGATATAGACTGAGTCACTCCTGAGCTAGCAAGGTGCAATCAGCAGCAATGCTGTGTGGGGAACACATGGACCCTGATCACACCAGCAGGCTCTGTAGCATCATTTGCACCGTTCGAGATCTGTGCCTTCCCCTCTCAGGGGACCCCATGGATTTGCACATGTAAGATAAAGGAGACTTATGTCTCCTTGTGTCTCGGAAGTGGGGATTTTGTTGTGAGGGAGTCACAAGAGCACAAACATAACCTGGCAATAACATAATCACAGGACTGGGAAATAAAAGGTTACCTCACGGCAGCAGCATCAATATAGCTGCATGTACGTAATTCCTGACAGGCACTCACTCTTGCTTGTAGTTAGAAATCACAGCTTGTGAAGTCCGAAGTTTTCCCAGATGATCTGTGCCATATCTTCACTCTTCCTTTCTATCAGAAAGCCTGTAACCCATGTCTAACCTGATTTTTAACTTGCTACAATTTAAGCTCATTGCTGGTCACATCCACCAAGGAAATCTGGACAGGGCAGTTCTCTGTTATTCTCTTTTATCACCTTCTTTCTGTTTCTGAAGAAAGTTACTGTACTTCAGTCTCTTCATCTTCAGACTGAATGCTACTTTATTCAATCTGGCATCATAAATCATGTTTTCACAAAGGGGCCTATATTTTTTACTTCTTTTTTCTATTTCTCCTTCAACTCTTTTTCCTTATCTTCTATCTACTTGATACTTTATCTTTCCCCAACCCTTTACGATAATTTATTTAATTTACCTTATTTATTTTCTCTATCAATTTTGTGACTTTGTAACAGGGCTAGTTCTGGAGTTCATGTTTCTTCTTATTCTGCTTCGCCTTCCTGCTTTTGCAAAGGATGATCTTAAAAGTATTGAAACATTCTCTGCCTGGGTAGAGGAGAAGTGTGGACTGAGTACAGCTTTATCAGTCAGGAGCTCCTAAGCTGTAGCTCTGACTTAACACCAGTTTGTCCAGCCCCAGGAAAGGCAGCTGACATTGCTCTTGCTATGAGCTTTTTAAGGACTTGCATGATTTTTAAAAATACGGTAGTTTATTGCAAGAAATATAAAATAGACCTAGCACAAGTCTGAAAATTTGACCTAATTTTTAGCAGATCGAGGTCTCCTAAGCGGCTCCTATTTTTCTGATCACAGGCAATCTTTAACATTACTTTAAAGAATCACTCCAGAAACAGAAAGTCTATGTATAATTAGTTCTCACAGGCTTCATGGCTGTCATAAGGCTGAGGGATGTAAAGATGAAACAGATTAAGTGTTGTTATGCGTGTCACATCCAAAAATCTGTATTGTCAGTCTTAACATTGAAGAGTCCTTCTGAGCCAAGGGCTGTCATAGGCTGCTGGGTTTTCTGGTTGTGGGGTTTTCAATTCCTCATGCAGCTTGTGGGTACATTGCCCAGTACTGGGCCTAAGCACATGCAGTGTCTTCTGAACCTGTGTGTCAGATTCTCCACCGCCAGCTATGCACATTTAAAAGGCAAAGTTAATGATTGTAAATTAATCTAGGGATCTTTATTTATGTAACTCATTGCAAGATTATGAATTAATACAAAAATTTTCTCTTTGTTCATTAAAAAAATACTGTGGAAGACAACTCTGGGTCTGGATATTGTTCTGTTCAGTGCAAAGGACAGATTGTTGACATTCCTGGGTAATTCTGCTCTCTGGCAAAGGAGTGCTTCTTATCAAGTGCTCTGATGTACAAGTGCCTGAGGGCTTGTTCACATGGGAAAATCCAGTGGCATTATTCATACCTCTGCACTGCAGAATATGAGTACCCACATGGGAACTCAGCAAGGGTATAATTATTTTGCTCTAGAAAAGCCCGAAGTAGCTTTATATAATTTCTCCCCAGAAAGTTATCTATCGCACAGGTAATGCAATGCCCCAGAGAAAATGCATTTGAGGACATCAGACAGGACTGCTTTCTACAAAAGCAACCCTGTGCTCATGTGAAAACACATTTCCCTATTTGAGATCCTTTTTTTTTTTTATCATCACACAGAGCACTCTGTCCCTACTTTAAATAAGCCTCATTCTACAGAGAAATTTAAACAAGCACCATGCATGTACTTATCCACACCCATCCACTCTTTTAGTTATCGGCAGTAGTTTTGCTGCACTTACTTACACTTTTCTTCTGTAGATGCATCCTCACTCTGAGCACCACTCTCAGAGAGATGCAGTGTCTACAGCTCTTGGTAAGTGAATGGTGTGCTGAATTCTGATGGAGAGGTATAGTGCTAGCTCAGGAGAATAAGCAAGAACAGAATCCAGGTAATGTAAAACAATTTCACACTTGATAGGATATTAAGAGCATGTGCTGCACCTGCAGCCATGAATTTAATTTGCATAGCAGAAAAGCAATCTCTGTGCTGTAAATGTACAGTGGGTAGGAGGGATGGCAGAGAGACTAGCGTGTAGCCTTTGCAGTCCTGCCTTTTGTGTCTACTCTGCCCTTTGCAGTTCTTGTTGAGTGACCTGAAGCAGGTGGTATAACTCAGAGAGAGATTTCAGAGTCCTCTGGTGCCCGGCAGCGTCCATGTGCCCCGGCTGAGCACACTCCTGCACAGCTTTCTGCAGCTGCAGCTGCAGGGGGAGGGAAACCAACGGTCCTCTGAGATTTGGGGAAAACCAGTGACGGAATATTTTGTCACAGATTACCTGAGAAAAGGAAAAAGAACAGATTGTTGTAGCTACAACTAATGCCCTGCTGTTTCCCTGGGACTGTAACAAAATGTCATCTGAATCCAAAATGCCTCTAGCCATTCGAAGAGAAAGGCATAGAAAAGAAGCATCCACACAGGTTACACTCTAGCTGAGAAATGCCCCTCCTTCTCAGATTGCTCCTGTACTTCACAAATCTTATGAGTGGTTGAGGAAGCTGGGGTTGTTTAGCCTAGAGAAAAGGATGCTGAGGGAGGACCTTATCTTTCTCTACAACTGCCTCAAAGGAGGCTGTAGTGAGGTGTGGGTTGGTCTCTACTCCCAGGTGACAAGCAATATGACAAGAGGAAACGGCCTCAAGTTGTGCCAAGGGAGGTATAGGTTGGATATTAGGAAAAATTTCTTTAACAAAATGGTTGCCAAACATTGGAACAGGATGCCCAGAGAATTGGATGAGTCTCCATCCCAGGAGGTATTTAAAAGATGTATAGACGTGGCACTTAGGGACATGATTTAGTGGTGGACTTGGCAGTGCTGGGTTAACGGTTAGACTCAATGATCTTAAAGGTCTTTTCCAACCTAAACAATTTTATCATTCTGCATAACAAGTGGTGAGGGTGAAAGGGTGGGAGAAGGAGGCAAAAGGCCAACAAGCTACACTCCCCAAACCCCTCTGTTGTGTTAGTGCCTCCCAGCAACACAAGCTGGGTGAGCTGTAAGACGCTTCATCCCAGGGTCAAGAAGCCCATGGACACCCCTTTCCACTATAATCACCTATTACCTCTGGAGATTTGGACAGCCCCGACTTTCACAGAATCATAGAATCACTAAGGTTGGAAAAGACCTCTAAGATCATCGAGTCCAGCTGTCAGTGCAGTACTGCCAAGTCTACCACTAAACCATGGCCCTAAATGCCATATCTACAAGTTTTTTGAACACTTCCAGGGATGGTTATTCCACCACTTCTCTGGACAGCTGGTGCAATGCCTGGTCACCCTTTCAGTAAAGGAATTTTTCCTAACATCCAGACTAAACCTCCCCTGGTGCAACTTCTCGTCATTTCATTTTGTCCTCTTGCATATTACCCCGGAGAAGAGGCTGACCCCCAACTCACTACAACCTCCTTTCAGGTAGTTGTAAAGAGCAATAAGATGTCCTTGAGCCTTCTTTTCTCCAGGCTGAACAACCCCAGCTCCCTCAGCCTCTCCTCATAACACTTGTTCTCCAGACCCTTCATAGGCTCTGTTGCCCTTCTCTGGACTTGCTCCAGCACCTTAGTGTCTTTCTTGAACTGAGGAGCCCAGAACTGAACAGAGTATTTGAGGTGCAACTCGAGGATGTGTCTTTATTATCAGTGGAGAAGGTAATGCTAATTCCCTGCCCCTACTTTGCTCTCCTGTCTGAGGCACTGTGCTAACAGCTACATAAAAACATGGCAGATAACCACTAGTGAATATAAAGATCTGTCTGCATGCCCCAAGGTGAGATTTCTGAACAGGACTGATACTTATGTGGAGGCATTTAAAAACCTGACTGTCTTCATCTCACAGTCTCCTAGTACATATCATGCATTTTATAGTCAATGTGATTTTAAAAGAAAGGGATGCATAAAACAGCTGTGTCTACTCACTTGCAAGTTGTTATTGGCTCTCTGTGCTCCACATTTTCTTATTTTCAGATTACATTTTGAAAAGCAATCAAAAAAATTACAATCTTCATCTCCTGTGCAATTCTGTTCGAGGATGTCCCTCATTTTGGGTTCAAAAAAGGCCATATCCACATCAATGGCCACCACCTGTGGATCAAAACAACCCATGAGATCTGGCAAAGCACAGACTGTAGAACGGGGCTGAGCAGGCGTTCTTTGCTCCTTGCTTCTGGAAATGTTGTGTAAGAGCATCTGCCAGTGAGGAACTGGGATCAAAATGAAAGGGCCTTATTTCACTTAACTAAGCCGCACTAGCCTTATAAATACCACTTTTTAAACAAAAACAGCCAATGTTTATGACACTGGGAGTGGGAAAATTATTTGTGGGCAATATGCCTCCCTGGGATCAATTGGATTGATTTGCTTTAAGCTGGAACTATTCATCCCGAAAACTGATTTACTTGCTGGTGCAGCATATGCAGATGGCACCTTAAGCTTTTAATTATATGATGGTGCACAGTTATCCGTGGGCCAGATGGTATCACTTCACAACTCAGCATTCAGACTAAACCCCTCTGACTCTGCCTCTGTGGAGGGGAGCAGTGGCATGCCCAGGGTTAGCTGCACCTGGTACTGCTCCAGCAAACCTGCCCCTGTATTCAGTAGTTTTGAGTCTGTTCAGCTGCAGAAAGACATCCCTAACTTCGCTGAAAGCTGGTTCTGGCTTTGCCCAGTCCTGTTTGCTATGGTTTGACACACTGACTGTGCACAGTTCTTGTTCTGCTTGTCCAGAAATACGTCCCATAGCAGAGTCCAGTCTGAAGCTGGTCACAGCAGAAAAAACATGACTGAAGGGATCAATCACTTTTCTCATCCTGACACAAGGATCACAAAAAGAGTGAATATATAGCACAAAGTGGTTTGCAGAACTGCTGCCTGTGTTGGGGGTGAGACCACTCTGGGAGCAAAGGGCTGTAGTCCCAGTTTCCGCCAGTGTCACTCCATCCATGAATGTTCCACTTAAAAAAATCCCAGCAATAAAGAGGGAAAGGAATTCAGTAAGGGGATGGCAGCTGCTTGATGTGAGACAAACTGTAGGTGACCACAGGGAAAGCAGCCTCCTTCCAGAGTCATCATGCATGTGCAATCAGTGAATGTTCACAGCTGCTTTTCACACTTAAATTGGGGATACTCCCTTGCAGCATCTAACACACATTTTCCTTGAGGAAAATATCTGGGACCTGGGCAAAGCAGAGTTACTTGGGCTCAAATGGTAGTCTAATTTTTAAGATTCAACCACCCAAATAATGGGGGAAACTGGAACAGCAACTGGATCAACACCAGGAACTAAAGATATCTGGTTTGGTAGAAGCCCAAATAAACCTTCCATGGGCAGAAAAAGAACATGGTCTAATCTTCATTTTATTCTAGTCCTCTTTCCCTAGGGAAAAATCTTGAAGAAATGAGGCATAACTTAAAAACTCAACTATTTTTAGGCTTTTTGGAGCTTATGATGATGACATATCCTAAGGAATTTCACACGTTTGAACAGGCAAATCTTTTTTTTCTTTTCTTCTTTACTTCCTAGCTTTCTCCTGTTTTGCTGTTCAGTTCTTTGGAGAAGAGACCGTGAAAGCAGTGCAGGGTTTCCCCAGTCATAGGATTGCTGCATCAGCTCCCAGGTGGGGTCTTTGCCAGCACTGAGTACATTTGACCGTTCGATCCATTGCTCTGCTAGGAAAACCAGCCCTGGTTCCCAAACATACAGCTGCCAAAGGGTTCAGCGGCTTCACTGAAGTTCATCTGTTACAAAAATGTAGTGTGGGCATGCAGCCAATCCCCGTGAAAACAGATCTGGGTGACACTACCTATGATCGGCTACATTTTGGTGGGGTTTGTTATGATCGCAATTGATGAAGAAGGTACCTCGGGAATTGCAGCAAGGACCCAACTTGGTTCCTGACCTGATTTAATGTCATGTTTAAGGTGCTGTAATCTTTCCAGTTCTCTTTGAGGTGGGTGTAAAAGAGGAAGCTCTCCCAGAGCACTGTGCATTCACCCAAAACCTCCTTCCAACTCTGCACCTTATGGCAGCTCCATGGCAGCTTAAAATTCTCCTGGATGATCTACCAGGCAGTGACCTCTCCTCTCCTTTGCTGCAGGAGAGCAAGCAAAGGCTGGAGTGAGAGCTGGAGCCTTATCCCCACCACTTGAAAATAATCCTCAAAGTGAAACTGCTGCACTCTAGGCACATTTCTTTGGGCTTTAGGGCTCTCATTACTCCAACAAGGAATAGCGGTACTATTATGGGTTTTATTATTTTCCTACACAGAGCACAGGAAACCAGCAAGTGAAAAAAATCTCTTAAACATAAGGGACAAAAAGAGGCTGACTTGCTGTGTTCCCATTCTGCAACTGGTTGGTAAAACTACGTAGAATTTCTGCTTCTTACTCTGCTTCCTCCATCACTGATTAGAAACTCTCTATCCTGTCCCCCACCCTCTGTCCTTCTCCCCACCCTCAGCTGTCTGACTGTATCTCCTGTCTCTCAGCCTGATGGCGCAATACCACCAAGCTATAAGTAATGTACAACTGGGAGAGCCATGTGTGAGCAGCAATTCATTTTTTCTTAATTAATTCTCCTAGGAAATATTAAATTATCATGTTTACCTATACCAGAAAATGTCTGTTGTCTCTTTGGACCCCAGACGTCACTGGAAGATCCTGGCAAAGCAAGACTCACCAAAAGGACTCGTGAGGAAAGACATATCCAGTATTCTTCCTCTTTTCCTAAACGAAATCTCTTTTCCTGTAAGAAGGCTGTAAAACAGATGCTCTGGTGTGTGCTCATCCGCAGACAGCTGTAGCCCTGCGCAACTGAGAAAGCTGGGCAAAGCCTGCCTGGAGGAACTTCTGCTATACCTGGCTTATATATACTGGTACAGCTTATTTTAGTTTCTTGCTGTAGCTCCTTACTTGTTCCCTATTCAGCTGCTGTATTGCACCTGAATAAACAATGGGAGGGGAGAGAAGGGTGAAGGGAAAGCACTCTAACTGCTCCTAATGGCTCTATGTTTAGGCAATGTTTATCTAGTACTCTGAAGATACAAGTGTAATATTAACTCTCAGTGAGTACTAAAAATAGTATTAAAGTGGCCGAAAATGCTTTATATTCACTAAGAGTGCAGAAAGTCCACTGATGTCACTGCAAATTGGGAACCTAGTTCAAACACTTACTCACTGCACAGTGCCTCCAGTCTGTAGACACAATTCCAACTGAAATCAGAGGAATTTCTGTCTACAGCAGAATGTGACATACATGCAGCAATGTGGTGCTGAGCTACGTCACTATTTTGAAAACTTGCATAGCTACTCAGGTCTGAGTTACAGCAGTGCAAGGAAAAGTCAAAGAGTTAACAGTAGCAGGAACTTTCCCATTGCTGTCCTTGGAGAATTTCCAGACCAGATAAGCTGAACATTGAAACACAAATGTGCATGCTTGGATGTGGGGAGTTCCCCTTGTGTCAGACCAGAGAATTCAGCCTTAGTTTTCAAATTCAAATAGTTTTTTCCTTTCAGCATCACTACCAAAAATAGTTGCCATGACTCAAATTACAGCTTCATTCACAGATTTTGAGATCCCCTTGCCTTCAGGAGGCATTCCTCACCACATCCAAGGGACCCTGTCAGTACCAGTTCCTTTGAGGAGGTGAAACAAAGCAGAAGTAAGCAAGCAGTTCTCAAAACAAGCAGCAGGATTTAGTGCTCTGAAACGTGGCTGTTCACACTGCAAAGCAGAAAAGAAGCAGAGGATCTCCCCTGTTGCTTGTAAATGCATTGGTTTTGCAAAACCTTGGCCAAAAGCTGTACGAGGAGGGAAGTGTCATTTTTACACAGCCACCTTCAGACCAGACTTTGACTTCAAATTGCTGCAACACCATCCCAAAGATGTAACTTACCGTAAGATCATGCCTGATAGCAAAATTTTCTGGTTTGATGTCACACAGGTGGAGTCGGTGAGAGAAATCATTATCAAAATGCTGCACCATGTCCAGAAAGCTGAGTGCAATGTCAGTGATGGCTCTCACCCTGCTTTTGTGTCCGGTAAGGGAGGGACCAATCGCATTTTCCAAGGGAAAAAGAGTTTTGTGCCAGGCATGTCCAGCTGTGAGATACTCCACAGCATAAAAGTGTCCACAAGAGCCAATAATTCGTAGCACGTGTTTGCTGAAGTCCTGCAGCAAACTGAAGTAGATATATTCTTCCTGCTGGAGCAAGGACCACATGCTGGCCACCTGTGCTTTCCAATGTGGTCCCTTTTTCCTTGTCCACAGGGGCCCCATGGTACTATTAGACAGTTCTAGCCCCAAGGCATTTTTGACCTCCAAAGCTACCATCAGCAGAAGCTCAGTTTCAGGTATATCCTGTGTTTCCACCTCCTCCAGCATACTGAGGTGCTGGTAGCTGGAAAAGACTTCTTTTTTGGATTTCAGTATGATGGGCTGGCCTCTCCAATCGGCCTGAATGACCTTCTTACCTCTGTCATAGTAAAGGCAGTGCTTGTACACCAGCTTCTGTGCCACGCACAGGTCTTCACAGAGGTCACCAGTCAGGGCTCCGCTGCTGTAGTCAAGACACTGGAGTGAAAGAGCAGAATATTCATAGCAGAACCACATGCCCATGGACCACGTAAAAGAAAGACAAATAATGAGCAACAGTCCTAAGCTCAAGAGGTTTGCAGCAGTCATGGAACCGCAAACACACACCTTCTACAGCCGTTGGGTGACTCAATAGTTTTTCAGAAATCTCTAGAGACCTTTTACTAGGGGAGTCTTGCTTCGAAACAGGGATTCTTGGGATGGTAAAGGACAGGATTTTCAGGGGTGAGGAAATGGACTAAATGACCTGTTACCTTGAAGTGTTTTACACATATGAGTTCAGTGAGACAAACTTTAAACACACGTGTCTGTGCTATATGAGATGATGGGCTGTAACACTTTAAGGCACAGGAGATAACTTCCATAGTAATGCAAGACTTCTCTGGAAGGTTCAGGGGAGCATGAATTAGACCTCCACTTAAACTACAGGAAAATCCATGGCTAGCTGGATTTCTGGTTTCTTCCACAGTCCTGCATGTTTCAGCCTTGCACTCAACATACCCTGAACGAAGCTGTCCTAACCTCCTCCTGCCCTACCAGGAAACACAGAGGTTGTGCTCAATGCCTTTTGGACCAAGAACTTTCAGAATCTTAAAATATATACTATATTTCATTATTAAAACAATAATCTGCAGAACAAACTGACTTTTCAGGTTTTATATGTAATTATCAGAAGTGAAATTTTAATATTAATTGCTTGAATACTTAATTTTTTCTGTAGCTGTAAAGAAATAACCCCGTGGAAGCAAGGAAACTGCTGCTTGATAGTTAAGTGGTCATTGCAAATTCATACAAGAACTGCAAGGATTCCCTCACCAGTCCTTCCCTCAACCCATAATTGTTTCCATGATATCGTTTCCAAAAGTGGAGGCAGTCGATACATTCCTATGGACATTCAGAAGTGCAGCTGTAGGGACTGCTTTGAGTGAATCAGTAGAGGGGATGATCAGAGGTCTCTGGTGAAAGGGGAAGAGATGAGGTGGTGTAGAAAGCCAAACATCTGGGAGGCAGCTTGACAGTGTCAGCCGCCTTCACTTCTTTCTGGCATTTGAACCTTCATTTAAACAAGTTGGCAGGACCCCCTGCATGTGGAGAACTTGCAATGGCTGCCTGAGCCCCACCTCACTTGTGACTTGCTGTTACATACACAAAGAACATGATCACAACATTCAAGTAAATTATTTTCTTAGGACAGTCTATGAGGTGTGTACACCAGAAGAATATGTTCTGATGCCAAGCAACATTTGGAGTTCAACCTTAAACAACACACAGGGGAATGGATGGAGGATTAAGTCCAAAATCCAAGAATGGTGATAAATTGACTGCAACAGCTCCCTGAGGGCAGTTCAGACAGGGATAAAATTTATTTATATTTTGATGTTCTCACAGGCCAAATGAGAACAGTCATTGCCAGCAAGGAGAGCCAGGTAGGCAAACTCTTGCATGAGTGTTCTGACCCTGAGTCCACACATGTGAATCACACACGCATCTGCATCGACATCAACATCAGGATGGCCAAGCAGACTCACTGGGCTGTCTGCAGACTTCAGAGCATGCAGATCAATGCTCCTGCTTTTGAAAATCCACTCCTATGAATTTAATACAATTTTACTCTACCTTTTTAAATAGGAAACATAGTTTTCTTAGCAAAAGTAGTTTAGCAGTTCTTACCATCTGGAACTCTAAGCAGTATTAGAAAGAGAATTACAAACAGAAGGAATTTGGGGGGGTTTCTTTGGATTGTAAGTATAAGCACGTTTAAAACTCTGTTGAGAGACCACAACCTAACTCTCTTCTGCTACAGTAAGAGAATTTAGGACTTAGTCATGTAATTGGGTTCACATGGGTGAACACATGCCCCCATGGACAGTTTTAGTGTGGTCCATCAGGTTCACTCTTAGAGGGTCCACATGCATAGACCTCTTACATCTAGAACACATGTCCATCACCTGTAGTCAAACATGTAAATGTGTATCTTATTTTCTTGTATTGACATCATGTCATTCTTAATCACATTAATGAGAAAAAGTAGTTGTGGAAAAAGTAGTCTCACATTTCACAGACATAGGAGACAAGTCCTTTTTGAACCTGGTTGCTGTTTAGAACTTGTCTGCTGTTTTTTCAGTTTAACCTATAAATCTTTCATTATTAACCTAGTATCTGACAAAGAATGTCTAATTCATGGTATTCTTTACAATGACCTTGTGCAGTGTTTTGCAAACTAGGATATGTGGAAGAAAACTTGATCAAGGAGTTCATGGTCTCACAGTGATGAAACACAGAGCAGCCTTCCAGATGTAACATTCTCTGCTCGTCACCAAAGCAAGCAAAGATTTCAGAAAGGTTCCCTCAAGTAAGCAATCAAGAAGTTTGAACTATTTTCTATCATAGATATTTTCTATCTATGCCTTTTAGGCATAGTCTGCACTGGTAGTTCATCTTGAAGCAATTATTTGACCCTTACATCCTTTTCCAAAGACATACAGTTTTACAAGACCATTTTCCATCATATTGGCATAGCACTATTGTGCTCCCCAGAGTATTAGCTTGCATTTTACAGTATTAAAACACATTCTGGTGGACTGAAAGCATTTAACCAGGTGATACAGATTTATTATTTACTAACCCAGGAACCTTTGCACTAACTGCAAACTTCACTATACAAGATTGTAATTCATCACGGTGATTGTTGATAAAAAGGAGAATCAATTCCCCAGGGAAATCTTTCAGAAATGGTCCTCCATGCTGCCACTCCTGTCTTAATGGCTGCATTTTGAGATCTGTCAATGAGACAGTTTTAAATCTACCTAATGATTGCCCTTTGAATGCCACTAAGTGCCATATTTTTAAAACTAAAATATGAAAGTGACACCAAGCCAAAATCCTTATAGAGAAGCAGCTGTACTACAGAAAAATGCAAACACAAGTATGGTTTGGATTTGCTTGTATGTTTCTGATTAAATTTGGCTACATAATTTTTAATGCCCTTAGTGCACTTATCAAGATAAGTTCGGAAAAGCTGGGTTTAAATTAACGTAAAAGCTTAAATTAATGTAAACCCTGCTAAGGATTTATATAAATTTAAATAACTCACTGTACCACCATCAGTGGCCTGAGACTGATGTTCTGCCTTGTTAGCTAGTACTTCTCCTGTGTAAATGCAATACTGAGCCAGGTTTGGAAGGCATCAAAATTAATTGATTTCTCCAGAGGAAAGAGAAATTGATTGCTATGATTTAGTGTGTTCAGGGTAAATGAAGATGAGATTGGCATTAGGAAAGAGTGATTTTTTTTTTTTTGAGAGTTCAAATTGGTTCCTGCAAAATGCCCTGTGCCACTTCTGCCTTGTCAGTGCAGTACACATCTGCACAGATGTACATCTTACTCAGAATAAGGAAATAAACCCTTTGGAAATGCCACTTGCTAGGGCATTTTCACCAACTTGCTTAAAATAGCTCATCTAATCTCCTACTGAAAATATGACACACGACTAGAAAGATAGTTTTTCTTAGAGGCTGATTTTTGCTTAATAAAGAGCGTGAGACTCAAATTATCGGGTTATTTGTTTCATAGATAATTGCACTTTTATAACTGCAAAACTCATGCCTTGCTCAGAAGATGTCAAAAGACTTATTTGTGGGCTGATGAAGATGAGCTCATTTTCTAATTATTCCACTAGAAGGACAATCCCTTTCTAACATCATCTAGGAAAACTGTTGCTTTACAAACCTTAATGGTAGTACTGAAGACTTACCTACAGAGATAGATGAGCACAGCAACCTCAGCTACTCTTCCTCTGGAAGGAGGGTCTGTAACTGAGCTATCACTCAGTGAACAGAGACAACTTTCCAAGCTTGCGCCTGAAATCTGATCCCTGCCTGGGCTTTTGAAGGCGTGCCTAACCGTCTCCAAACTCAAGAACAGCAACAAGTCTCAGTCCATCTCTTTAGTGGCGAGTGTGATGGCAAGGACCTAGACCTCCCTGAGCTTGGCAGCTCCGTGCTCCTCCATATCTCAATGATCTTCCCAACCACGTAAGGAGGAGGCAGAAATCATTCCTTCAGCTGCAAACCTGAGCTCAGCTGTACTTCAAGCTGGCTACTGCGGTAAAGAAACTGGAACTCACTGCCATTAAAAACACTCTGTTAGGACCACTGCCTATACTTGCACTTTCTTTATTATACAGAATTAAGGAAATCTATGATCAGCTTTTTGCTTGCTTGCAATAATAGATTATTTAATTCCCATTAGGATTCCTCTCTTCCCACCTAACCGTTGGCAGTACACATACCCTCATTAAGAAACAAAATTAAACTCAAAGGATTAACCCAAGCTGCTCCTCTTCTCAAAGTGTTTCCTACACAATCCTAAATCTCTTTATTACTATTTCTAAGGGAAATTTCAATGAATATTCTTTCTTGAATTTTGAGTAATCGCACCTTTACACGCCAGACATAAAGAAGGCGATACAAGCTGCCTGGCACTTTTGAAAGATGACTTTTGTCCATAGACATTTTCGGCTAAAAACAAAACAAACAAACAAAGAAAAAAAAAAAAAAAAGAAAGAACACCCGGAGGAAGGTTTCCCCCCGCTCCGGAGAGTGCGGCACGCCGAGCTGCCCTTTCCAAAGAGCTTGGGCAGCTCACCCGCATCCCACGCCAGGGATCCGGCCCGCCGCCTGCACCTGACCTCGCCTCGGGGAGGGAAGCAGGGAGGGAGGGAAAGAGGGAGGGAAAGAGGAAAGGAGGTAAGGAGGCAGCCACCCGCCCGTGTGCACCGCGGGGCGCCGGTAATGCGGCACCTCCGGCGGCCGGAGCTGGGGAGGGGCGGCACGGCCGGCAGCGGGTGCTCGGCTCAGCGCAGCCCCGACGGACCGCCGGCGCCCCGTCCTGCCGGGCGATGCCCCGCGTCCCGCCGGGGCACGTACCAGCCTGGCTAGGATCCGGTGGCTTTTCTCGTCCGTGCAGCGCTCGGAGAAGACGCTCCTGTGGAAGAGGAACAGCGCAGCGCTCACCACCACCCAGCAGGCAGCCCAGAGGAGGAGCAGCAGCAGGGCGCATCGCCGCCAGATTTTGAGCCGCAGCCTCTTTAAGCCCGGGATGCCCCTCATCGTCGCTCCGGGACTGGGCTGGGGCGGCCGCTTCAGCTGCTGCGGCCCCGAGCGAGCGGCGGCGGTGGGGGCCGGGGGCTCCGAGCTGCGCCCCACGCCCGCCCGTCCCGCTCCCCGCCCGCGCCCATCGCCCCCCGCACCGCCGCCGGGATGCGCGTCCCCGCGGCCCCGGCCCCGCTCCCGCCCCCTCCCCGAGCCGGGACTGCCCTGACGGAGCCCGAAGCGCCCCTTTTGAATTTAAGCCACGTAGTTCCGCCGGCTTTTGTCTGCGCTCCCCTGTGCCAAGCGGCCCCTACAGCCACTTGGCGGCTGCTGCCCGCGCCCCCCGCCTCTCCTCTCCGAGTTTCTCACCCGAGAATAAAAGCGGTTTGACGGGTGATGGATGCTGCTGTGGGAACTCGTTCACATCCAGGCGGCTGCCCGACGCTTTGAAAGAGGCAGCCTGGAGACGGAAGGGTCCCTCTTGTGAAAGCTTCGCCTCCCGACACATGGGAAAAGACAAAGTTTATTCTAGAGTAACTTCTCCAGTTTTATCCTCCCGGAGCTAACGGAGGAAGAGAGAGAAGGGTCTCAGGTGCCCATTCCGTAACGCAGCCCCCCGCACCTCCACGATTCCCCAAAAGCTCCCATAGCCTCTCCTGCCCGCCCCGTGTCCCAGCCGCGGGTGCAGGCTGGCCCCTGCCCAGCATCTCTGTGTCCCGGCCGCCTCGGCGGCCGGCGGGGAATGCCAGCGGAGCGGTCCCGCTGAATGCTTCGCCGAAAGAGGGCAGGGTGTACTTGGTCCAAGGGTGTTGGTAGCGATAGATTGTCTCCCTACCATCCGGCAGAGAGAGTACCTGACCTGTGACTGTATCTCTTTTTAAGAAGGCGTCAGCACCATGCGACAGCCCCTAATATATTTGACTTCGTTAAAGTCTCTAAGGGATCAAAGACCCATATGTTTATTCCTATGCAGCAGGCAAGATCTTGACATACTTTCCTCACTCCAGATGCAGATGTTCACTGTCTCTGTTTAGACCACCACATCCTTTTTTTTTTCTCCCTTGGCTGCCACTTGACAGCATCTCACCATCATCGTTTTCAGTGTGAAAATTAATATATTAAAGTACAGCCCAAAGTAATAAGGGTATCTGCTTCAAGTTTACTGTCAGATATGATGAAAGAGGAACAGGTTGATTTTTCTTTCCCTTTATGGATTATTACCTCAGGCTACTTGCAATCCCATAGCTGGAAGATGAATTGCAGTTAATGAAAACACTCTGAGGATAAATTATTTACCCCAAATTAGTGAGAATAGCAGAATATGGCCCATGAATGGAGTAATGCATAATAATTCAATAGACTTATTTTAATCAGTAAGTTGCTCCGGTGCACATTTTGTTAGTAAACTAATGTTAAAAAGTGAAAGTTCACTGTTGGAGAGCTAGGTTTAGGGGTATATATTGTGTACCATCATGTGGTATATATTGTGTGCTCAATGAGAATATCTCCCTGACAAATCATTAAAAAGACAGGAGTCTCTATTGACATGATCTAATTTTACCTCTTAGAACAGTGAGGGGAAGACCACAGGTGCATCAAACTTGTTGTTCTTCACACCTTTTACATGGTCAGTGCAGTTCTCCTCTACCATGCAGAGGAGGGCTTGAAATACAGCTTCTAAGTAGATGGCAGACTGTGGCAGAAAGGAAAATGGAAAGATAAAAGTATTTCTGAAAATACTACAGCTTTCTAGAGACTGACAGTGGGGAGGGAGATGCAAGGAGAGCAAAACTACTTTGATCTCCAAAGAGAATCAGAAGCAGAGTCATTATCACAAGCCACATCTTCTATCCTTAGTGTGTTTTGCTCCATCTCTCCATCATCTCATTTCTTCACCTGCAGAAGCTGCTTTTGGCCATCCTTTTCAAATTTTCTTTTTTCCCTCCTTGATCCTTTTACTGAGAGGCTTCCTTTTGAGGCACTGGCAATACAGCCTGTTTCTTGAAAATGTGGCCAGCAGCAAAGACCAACTAGGCAGCTAGGAACTGAAAACTATTTCTCAGTCTGACACAAAATGCTCTTAGGACCTGTCACTGATCAGTTTGGGGTATTCATTTGGAAATTCCTAGGACAATAAGTGGGGAAAGGCAAGAGGGAGAGTTGCTTAGCCATTCCTCTGCGGGGATACCAGCTAGGCTTGAATTCAGCCAACCTTCACCAGCGACTGCTGCCACCTAGGAGGGAAAACTGCAGATCTGCCATACTAATACCTGGAACAATCCTGAGATGTGACCCACATATAAGAGGGATGCAGATGCTGGGGGAAATTCAAGCATCAGAGTATCTCCCTACTGCTTCGTCCTAAGCTGTCTGGGTAATAGTTTAGGCACTACCAAACCCACCTCTATTTTAAAGTGTAGGTCTTGACTTTTCTATGTGTCAGCATTCCCCAAAAGATATCATGTTTGTGAAATTCTGTATATGTGTTATTTGTGTTTCAACAATAGTTCTGAAAACAGATCTTAATTACTTCTGACTTTAAGCTAGGAATAAAATATAGATAATTCTGGCCTGGTTAGGTGTCATAGCTGAGCTGCTCTAATTTCTGCTGAAAAAAACCAAGGATGTTCTTTTCTCCTCCTCCACTGCCACCTCCCTGTTTTCCTCTTTGCCTTGCCTGCATAGTCCAGCCCCTTCTGCCAGTGAAAGAAATTCCTCACTGCCAAATGAGCTTTCTCAACTCACCAACAGGTCAGAGAAACGTAAAGCTGTTTCTTGCTGAGATTATTTTCAGAGAGGTCAGCAGGCCCTGGAGATGTTGCCAGGCATGCTGGCAGAGCTGGTGCAGGGAGGCACATTGCAGGGCCAGGCACTCTGGGTTGCTGGAGGCAGAACTGTCCCACTGGCTCAGCTGTATCAAATGTCTGCCCCTTAAGGATGCAATGACATATTATGGGTACGGTGATCTAAATGGAAATGGTTGTGGAAAGGCATAGTCCTGTCCCTGTTTTCACCCCAGCCATGTGCTGCCACTGCTCCCTTGGCAGCTGGATCAGGGATCAGCAGTCAGCATCAGTAGGTTTTTGATTGCACTTTTCATTTCCTCCCAGGATACCAGCTAAAATTCACTCAATTTGGCGGTCTGTAAGGAGCCCACATCCTCCTCTTTGGTTTGGGAACAGCTGCTACACACAGCAAGAGCAATTCTACCTGTAACATCCGTTGTCTGCTGCTTTGATTATGGAATGTGAAGAAATAGACTAAAAAAATAATAATGGGTTTTAATGTAGTCTTAATAATGTTTTTAACAGTTTTAATAAAAAATAAAAGTATAAGATGAAGGGAATTTAATGAAGCAAATGCAAGTTGCATGACACTCATAGTAGATAGTATACTAGTTTCATTGTACGGTAAATCCCACAGGAGGCATTTGCAGTCAATAAAGCCCTGTCTTCACAAAAGATTTGGATATAGCATTCAGGCTGAACAACTGTATCTAGTTGTTCAGCCTCTGAACTTTCAAATATCTCACCGACTTCAGTCAGAGTGAAAAGTTGGACAAGTCTGGTAAACATGTATATGTGTGTGCATACATACTTTCTTGTAGCAGGTACACAGAGACCTTTAGAACAGATCAAGAATTGACCCAGAAAGCTTGGATTTAATAACAGGTAAAAGCCTAGGTGCTTTAGTATCAGGTGGTTTACCCTTTAATAACAATTTATTGCTAGCTGCAAAATTCAGGTCTAGTTTTAGGTTTTCCTAAACTTCAAGGTTCTTAGACTAACAGAGTTAATTGTAGTCCAACTTCTGTAAAATATGTATGAGTGTCTCTCTGTGCCATATACATTTTCCTTTGAAAAAAGGCTTCTGCATCAGAGAAATTTTCCTTCCTGTATGTATTAAAATGTGACCGTTTCACGTTGCAATCCTGTGTTCCCAAAGGAAGCTATATTCCTATTCTTATTTTAACTCAGAATTAAACTTGATGAAAATAAATCAGTAGAATTTTAATTAAGGCAAGCAACGCTAAGGACAGTAAAAATAATCAGGACTAACTGTATTAGTTCCTACCCAATTAATCTTTGAATTACTAGTTAGAGCACAATGTCAGCATCAGGTTGGTCTCCTCTTCATCGCTGTGTTGGGCATATCACAAAATTGTGCATCAAGAATGTCAGTTCAGAGAAGGAATAACCACAGGGTTCAGTGGCCAGGAGTGAGATGCCTTGACCCACACCCACTGGTGAAGAGCCTGGCATGGTGTCTACCTGTGCTGTCTGTCCATGTGTGGGCTGAGCAGCTCCTCAGAGAAGGGCCGTGAGGAGTCCTCAGTCCAAGGAGCTGCTAAGCCCACACGTTTCCCATCACCTGCAGACACAAACTGCATTGCAGGCTCAAGTTGTATTAGGCTGCTGTTAGACCTTATTTTCCTAATTACCTAATTCTTCATGAGAGTTTAAAAGAAACAAAGTAAATCAGTCATTAAGAACTACCTTGGCACTCAAGTTAATGAAATGTAAAACTGGTTCATTAGGAATTATTGTTCTATTTGATTGATTTTATCACCCGCTGTCATTAGCACTAGGTTGTCTATGGAAATTGGGTATGTGTCTGCCAATCTTTCACAGAGCACATACGAACCTACTGTTTTCCTGCTAGGACCTCAAAAAACTTTTGAGTGCTGTTCAGATTTACCTATTTTAAAACACAAATATTTCTTTCTGATTTTCTTTGGCCAAGCTGAGCAACTGAAAAACATCACAAGGTTAGACATAGGTTTGAACATGAGCCTATGTCCTTTAGGCAGTGAAATTCCCCCGCAGAGCACTGTGTCTACCAGAGGAATCCAAATGTATTTTTTCATTTATGCCATTAATCAAAAAGAGTATGTTGCAAACTACTCACAGAAGTTTTATGGTATCAGAGAGCAGTGAGTTTATTGGGTCACACTGTGAACCAGAAGCAGAAAAATGGCACAATATAAAATGCAGAGTATACCTTTGTGGACAAGGGAAAAGCCTGGGGTAATTCACCGATTTAAACAACGGAAAGTGTTTGGACAGAAAAGGCTTTCCCGTGCATATATAGAATAAAGAATTTGTAAT